TTTCTGTAAAGAAATGAAGAGTGAAGCTGTTATCTGGCAGAAGCTTCAGATTCTGCCTGATGCAGTGATGAATGATGAGGCAATTGAGAGGGTTCACCATCTGGCAGACATTTGCATAGTTTGAGACATCTAATACTTGATCATGTTTAGATAAGTATTCTAGAAATGAGAAAAAAGACTGTAACGACAGGGTATATAAATACTGTAGTTCTTCTTTCTTGTTGTGGAAATGCAAACGCTGGTTGTAAATCTGAGGTTCCACATGATGCTGTATGCCAAATAAAATGTTGTTATAACTTGCTTCCAACTGTTCAAATAGGATTTTGCACATCTTGAGTGATTCTTAAGAGTCTAGCTATTTCCTCCTTGCTGTTTCCCCGTGGTTCCCTGGGCAGAAGAGGGGTTTAGAAAAGCGGTGATGACACATTGGTGCTCTGTTCTTGTACTAGTATCTCCTGCTCATCTCCCAGATAAAACACTGTAATGAAATGTTTTACCTAGGCTGTTATAGACTTTAATTCCAGATGTCTGGGGAATAAGAAATCATTAAATATTATCATTAATTATTATTAATTCTAACTAGAACCAGTGTGCACTTTAAGTTTTAAAGTGTATGCAGTCAGTGTAAATAAAGGAAAAAAGGTAGACAAATTAGTTTTTGTCACATGTTTTCAGACTTAATACATTTTGTGAATGTGTGTGCGCTGAGTGGTTGCCAGACAGTTTACTTTAATTATTCATTTGTCTTTGTTGGCTGACCTCTGCATCCACAATGATTCACTAGTGCTGGATCTAGTTGCTTATATTTTTACTTTCCTTTACTGATAGAAGGAGCACACTGCATTTCTGACATAACTTAGGCCTTGTAAAATGAACCGGTGTAGTTATTAATGGATTTCATCAGCTAATCTGGTGGCTTTAGAAAATGCCAGCACGTATTGAGTACAGTGCAGGCTTTGCTGTCTACTTTGCGTGCTTTTATATTCAGATTTAACTGTAAATCAGTGTGTTTTGGGTTGAATGTACAACAGGAAGAATATAGTTTTTAATAATTTCAAAATTATAAATAGATATAAAAACATTTGAATGTTTTTATATGCACGTGCATGTATATGTTTGTATGAGGATTTTATATGAAGATCTAGGCTTTGGCCACCCATATGGAAATAGGCAAGTGAGGGAAGCCACAGGGAGTGACAATTCTGCAATTTTACAGTAAAATACAAAATACAGTTTTATTGGTTGAGCTTGTGAGTTATACACTTGATAGCATTTATAAAACTGTGTTAACACACTTCATAACATGTCTAATGAATTCCATCAGTTTCAGGAATTTGCTGGGCACAGTAAATTGAAATCTGTTGATTGCAGTGGAAAGCAGAGACTGAGAAGAGTATAATGTGGGACACATGAAACCCTTGTCATCTGTTCAGCAGAGCCGCAGCTTCAGATATTTTTGCAGTTGTCTGTAGATCAGCAGCTCTACCATCATGGTTCTTACTTGCTGTTTCATGAGGGTTTACATGCTTGTACACTAGACATAACAGACTAAAAGAAAAGTTCAGGGTACATTTAGACATCCTAGGAAACATGATCTAAACTGAAGCTTCTAGTGAGTCGTGTGGTCCCTACCAGGCATTCCTAATATTCTCTTTTTGTGGGATATAGTGATCATGTGACCACAAGGTCAGTCAGTTTTGTTTGGATGAAAAGAATAGTTTTGTGACAAATCAACCAGCTGAATTAACTCTGTGGACTCCTGATCTCTGGATGAGTGAGATGGGGGAAGTGGGAACAAAAGGTGAAGAGTGAGGGGAGGAGCAAGTCTGCCAGCTTTGGTGGCAGCTGCCTGCTAGGTTGACATAGCTGAAATACCAAATTACATTTGCAAATTGCAGAATTGTGTAAATCACCTTAAGCAGTGTTTTCCTCCCTTCCCTATGCTGCTCATTTTCTCCCTTGTGCGTGTTAGTACAACCACACTATGAACCGGATTGGGAAAATGTTCTAGCTGTGGAGTAACCTGAGTAAAAGATTCTTGAGATGGATCAGTTCCCTATCACATTGCAGTGGTCACAACAGGATGGGAGCAGCTGGACATGCAGTGGGAGCTTCTTAAGCAGACATTATTATGATGAGTTGAATTTCAAACAGGCAGGAATAGATTGAGAAGAGAGAAATGGGCAGGCATATAGCCTCAGGGGTTGAGGAGAGAGGTGACCAATACTGGGGAAGATTTGAGATAGTTTCTAGGGAAAAGGAAAAGGTCTGAGAGAAGCTGTTTGGGGAGGACATGTGTTGAAGAGCTTTGGCATAAGAGAGAGATGAGAAAATTATGTTATGTGGAAGGAAGGAGGACTGTGAAAGACCAGTCCTAGCCTCTGAAGGAGCTTTGTGGATAATGTGGGATGTAAATGGGCTTCTGGTTTTAGCAAAAAAATTTTTTGGTAAAAAAATTCAAATTAACATGCATGGTCAGTTTCATGATCTCAAAATCATCATGTGATGTTAAAGTTGCATGTTAATGTTGTCTTTTCGCCTAATGAAGTAGTGTTTTGTAAGAATTTCATTTGGCAAACAGCGTAATTAGAGGTACAATATTTGCAGTGACAATCCAGTCCATTAATTTTTATTCTGGTTTAGCAATATTACAGGGAGTACATTTATGACTATATATAGATGGTTTTTATTTTCATTTGATTGACTGGAAATCTGTGTTCTAATGCAAACCGGAAAAATAAATCAGTAGATTGAGACATTTTGATAGATCCCAGAATTCCTTAAAAAATCAGTATTGAAGAGCATTACTAACACATATACATGTCTTATACCTTTTACAAATAATTATTTTTATTGATCTAGAAAGAAAGAAACTTCAGAGATCAAGAGCAGCAGCTTCTCCTTCCTAGATCTTTCTCCATTGATCAGCATATGTAGATTTGGACTGAAAGGCATGGGATGGTTGCCAGAAGAAATAAGATGGGGTCATTTCTAGATGGATTGCTTGCAGTTTTTGTCAAGTGTGTAGTGGTGAAAAGTTATGTAAGCTGTTATCTGGGGATTTGAAGAGGGATAGGAAATGGTAGAATAAGAAAATTGCTGAAGTGCTTTCCTTTTTTGTGTGCATGTGTGGGGTTGTTGTTGGTTTGTTGGGTTTTTTTAAAGTGAAACAGGTAAGATTGAAGGAAGTGGATGAAAATTAATTTAAGGGTACAATTTAAAGATATAGGGACTACCAGGGAATGTAGACTTTAAGAATTGCTTGAGTGTTGCTGTTCATTGCCCAACCTCTACAGCTGTGCCGTTGCAGTATTTCATAGGGTGGTCTGTCAGCTGTGTTGGTAACATGACTCTAGTTTTAAAGTCCCATCCCCATCACTCTATCTGGCTACTGCTATCTCCCTCTACACAACTTTTCTATGAACTGTAGCTGTTATTTTCCTTTCTGGTGCTAAATCTCTCTCGTACAGGATCTGAGTTTCCCATCCTGACTCTCCCCTGGCTGATCTGGCATGCACGTGCATTGTGTCATGGGTCGAGAATGTGAAACTTGTGGCTCTTTGTTCTATCTCCGTCACTTTCCTTTGCAACCCTCCCAGTTGTTAAACCAGTAAAATTGAACTCTTGATTGAAGTGTTAAATTGCAGTTTTCCCCCATGCTAGCTACTGTCTGAAGAATCAGTGTTGTTTCCCCGCCTAGTAAACTTTGAAGCCACAGATTTGTAGCAAAATGTAACTTTTTGGAAAGTTTGAATGAATTAGGACTGCCCTTTTATGTGATCCCTTCCCTACACCAGCAAATGATACATTTAGTTACACTTTCACAATTAATTGTGTGAGACTATGTAATTTCAAATATCCTGTTACCTAATGAGTGTGTTTCACCTTTTAATTTGTGCCAGGCTGGTTTTGGATGAGGGTTAGTAATCAAGAAAAATTAAACCTGACAGTCTAATATGGATTAAAATAAAATAGTTCATTTATCCCACTCGATAAGAGTATCAAAATAGATTTTACACTTGAAATTTCTTTCTTTGTTGAGCTTTCCTGATTTTTATCCCTCTCTTATCCCTAGGTGTTTTATCCACTATACATAATTTAATTATTATATTTAGCTGAACTAGTGATTTCATCATTTGCCTCAGTTTTGTGATACTTTTTGCTGCTGAAGTTTCAAAGTTGGCGTTTTTTTGCTTGTTTATATTGAATTTAGACTGTTCTAGTAAATGTAGCTTGTAATATAACTTTCTGCATTTTCCATATTTTTAATAATACACTTTAGGTTTTTCAATGGTAAATATGAAAAATTGAAATTGTAAGAGCATATTTTTTTAATTCACTGTGATTTATCTATGTGTGTCTCTTTTATTCTTCTGATTCCTCTGTTGAGCTATCTGTAACCTCATATATTCTGATTCCAAGTTTTACCTCTACCATGCAGTTTGCAGGAAAGAAGCTGAGAATTAATGGCAATATAGAAGGGCAGGTTAATATTAAACTTGAGGCAAAAATACTGTGTTTTCTTCATGATTTTGCGGTATCAACAGAAAGTGTAATGAAAGCAAAAACCACGTAACAACCCAAACAATTTTAGTTGTAGTTCTGAATAGGAAAATAATATTTTAAGAAGACAGTGTAGGTTTAAAAATTATTTTAACGTATCTTTGCTACAAAAATGCATGGAAAAGACATTTTCTTTTTTCCCTTTGTATTTATCTTTTGTGTTCAATTTCAGTGCTACGGCTTCAGTAAAATTAGTTCTCTGCAGTCATGTGGCTTTCCACAGTGAAGTGAGGACAGCTATTAAAGTATGTAAAATGTGACTGTAATTTTCCAAAATTGTTAAGTGAGATTTTAAGATGGATTTAAATGTGTATTTTGGAATTCTCTAGGTTTCAATATAACTAACTTACTTTGTGTGGTCATTCTTTTTACACAAAAGAAATTTCTCTGTATATATTTCAATATAAAATGTGTATATATGTTTCTTTTCTTTACAGAAAACTAACTTTTTGGATGCCCTATGGGGAGATGCACCTTTGACATGGAGCATGTGTTTGGTCATCTTCAATCTGAGGCAACAGTGTCTGTGCTATATATAACAGAAGAATTAACTGTGGAAAGAGACCGGCTGAATGGCTACATCACAATAAGAAATTGGTTTAAAAATGTTAGTGTTTCATGCCACTAATGCAAGGTTGGGAAAGCCCAGTAACCCAACAGTCAGAAGAATTACTTTTCTGTAAAAGCCTGTTCAAAAAGAACAAGCAGTCAATATATATTTCACCATGTGTTCCCTGATTATTTAGCACTAAATCTTTTATTACACTGAAATCATGGTGTGAGGATTGGTGAACAGCGTCCCCCGCCCGCCATCCCCAGCATTCATCTGGCAACTAAAGACTGTGTCAGGATGACCTCTGAGGAGATGACAGGGTCTGTTCTCCTCTCTGTGGTACGGGGTAAAGTGATACCTGCTCAGTCAGCTGGAGATGAAAATACTGAAAGTGCTTTGGCCACCAGTGTTATAAAAAGACATACTGCCAGTTCGGGAAGGCAAACCACACGCGCTCTGTCATACTTACACAGACTGGAAGAAGAAAGTCTTCAGGGCTCAGTGCCCAAAATATTCTCTCTGGCGAAAGAACAACTGACTAATGTCAAGAGTAATGAAAACTTCTGGGAGAGGAGCAGCTCTATCCCTGATCCAGTCGAATTTCTTAACATTAACTGTAACATTGTACAGAAAAACTACAAGAGCAATATCCCCTGCAGCCAGTTGTATCAATCGTGTGATCCTTTAGCTGGGGGAGAGGCACGCCTGGAAACTGGAATTCCTGTTTCACTGGAAAGAGCCATGCTTGCTGAAATTCAGTTGAAAATGAATGGACCTTCATTAAGAAGCCAGACAGCAGTAAATAAGAATGACAGCAGTGATCCTGACAAAGTACCTTTTTTTCACTTACATTGTGCCGGTGAAAGGAATATATCTAAGGCTTTGTGCGGTTTACACAACAGCTTCATTCTGGATGACTGCTTGCAGCCCCTGAGCGTTGGTGATGGTAACACCTCTGGTTCCTCAGCCTGCACTTGCAGCGTAATGGAGTTGACAAATAATTCTGAGAATGAAAATGGGCAGCAGCTGTATGACGATGCTTTAAGGGATAAGTATTTATGTCTGGAAAGAGCACCACGAAAGGTTAAAGTGGCGTGCTCAGGTCACAACTTCTGTGGAAATAACTTTACTGGAAGAATGCCCTCAAAGCCCTTTCTGAGCCATTTTGAAGACTGCAATGATAACTGTGAAGATGAGTTGGAAGAGGATTTTTTTCGAAACAAAAAGGAACGTTCTACTCTATTAGTAAGGCGTTTCTGTAAAAATGATAAGGAGGTTAAAAAATCAGTTTATACTGGAACGAGAGCAATTGTTAGGACTTCACCTTCAGGGCACATAGGAACTGTTGCTTGGAATTATGTTGAGCAAAGGAGAAACAATGGTGGCTTGAAGCTTTCTAGGATTACAACAGAACAGCTAACTATAATTCAGTCCTTAATAAAATGGAAGTTTAATTCCTGTCTTGAGAAGTCTTTATGGTATGAGGTAAGCTTTTCATAGTGTTTTTTTATTTGTTTTGTTTTTATTTTTAAATTTTGGTAACCTGATGACCTTTCCATTAAAAAAGCACCTTCAACTAGTAAACACTTAGGAACACTGAACAGGATATTTCACTTAAGCACAATGAGCAACCTTATGCTGAACACTGTTTTTTAGAAAAATGTATTGTCATCCTTCAGAAATCTTTTGGTTTAAAATGACATGGGATAAAAAGAATAAATTTATATGTGTACAAACTGTATATGTATATATATACATACATATATCTCTATATCAAATGTGTATAGGTACATATTTATACATAGATGGATGTATGAATTTAAATCTTGCTAAATATTACTTGCTAAATATAAGAATATAACACATATATAAATCTATATAGAGATTAAAATCTATATGCATTTTTATATTTATACTTTAAATTGAAAATGTATATGTTATACATATATATTTTTGCATATATATAAAATATATATATTAATATATATTATAGATCTACACCATCTACATGTTAAAATGTTTGAATAAGCTCTTGGGAGGGGAAAAGAATCAAGGTAAAGGAGTGTGTGGTCAGATAAGCTATACTTATGATCTGGTCCTGAATAAATGTAAATCCCTTCTGTTGGAAGAAATTTTTAGTAGTTAGTGCTCAAACACTTCAACAACCTCACTAGAACTGAAACGGAGGAAAACTTACTTGTATAGAATCATGGATTCATTTAGATTGGAAAAGTTCTAAGATCACTGAATCCTACTGTAAAACTGATCAAATGGATTATATGAAATTTTGTCAGTGGTAAGGGAGGAGGGGACTTGGTGGTTTACTTATACTTCAAGAAACTAGCATTTTTGCACTTAAATAGTTGATTGGAGAGTTCTATAAACATATGTATGACATGTTTTTGTCATGCTGCAAGGCTTTGTGGTACTGTTCATTACTGTGAAATTGGCTATATTTGTCAGTGGAAGTGCTGGTAGAGCAGGTGTACTGCTGGTCATGCATGGTCACGCTCCCACAAAGGGGTGAATCTGATTCTGTGTGGTTTAGGTAACATGGTGTATGCTTGGTACATTTGTATCATTACAAGTTTGGGGGAGGGGACAGAAGGGAAAACGTTTTGTAGCCGAGGTTGGTGAAGGATGTGTTTAGGTTTCTTCACTGGACATTTCCAATTTGACATGAGCTCCTTAGCTTCTGTCATGCATGGCTGTTTCCTTACTTTCTACCACTACTGTATAATACTGAACATACAGCATTTTGGGGGGTGAGGGCTTTAATTTGAGCATTTTTTTATAGTGCATATATATGTAAGCTCAGAAATAAATGTAATAAGTACTCACCGAATAATTATTCAAATAGGAAAAGGTCTGTCTACAAGTGAGCAAAGATAATCAGGCATTGTAAAGCACTCTGCATAATAACAATGCACAGAATGTTTTCATGTGGTCAGAAAAAGCTTTAAAACTATGTTTGTTTTTTCTTCCAAATGGACACTAAAACAATTTTTCTTTCTATCAACCCGTGTATTTAGTCTCTTTATGTACAACATACATCAAGCACTCTTAACAGTTTTTCTGTTATTTTAGTGCCAAATATTGCTTCTGTAATAATATTTCTATGTGTTTATGGTTTATATTATGAGCATTATAGATGGATTTACACAAACATAGAAATTAACTTAGAGGATGTGACAAATATAAGAACCTGTTGAACATATGCACTGGGTTAAAATAATTTAATGAATTATGAGCATTAGTAGGAAGCTTTCATGCTAATAATCAAAGGAAGAAGGAAAAAGTAGTAAATGAATGTGGTAATTTGTTCTTCCTTTCCCCTTATCTCACCCTTAGAGCATGCATTCTGTTTGGAACAGCTAAGTGAACAGTAGTTCTGTTCTTCCAGAGGAAAAAAAAGTTGGAGAAATTAAGTTTTCATAGCAGGACTGGTGTAACATGGAACAATAGAGACCTTTATGTTTTAAGTAGGAAAATGTGGGTCTCATTTGTGCATATCCCTTACATAAAAATTCTAATGCTAATAAAGGAAAGGCACTGAGCTGTCGTCTTGCTGAATGATTTTTTCTTTTTTCTTCCCCTACATAGGGAGATGGGCGTGAGGCTTTGCACTGTATAGAAAACACATGAAGTTATAACTTTTTCCATGTAGCATATTATTAGTTTGTATGAGATTTAGATTCCTTTGCTCTGCTCTGGATATGTTGTATGAAGAGAGATTTTTATGTTGAACTTTTTTTCCAATCTTGCACACAGTTTTTGTAGCTATATGCAGCATAGCACTTATCAGATGGGTGTGTGTAACGTGGCTGCTCATGAGACATTTCCTTGTCTGTGCTATAACAGTGCAAGCCCCTCACATTAGTACATATTAAAGAAGTGGCAGGTGCAATGAATCTGCCATACAAACAGCTAATGAGAGTGCAAGCTTTGGTGTTGGCTTTGCTTGGGCCATTACTTGGGTTCAGCTCAGCTGTGTTGTGTTAGCAATCTGACTAATTGCCAAAGTCAGAGTTTCAGGAATCTGTGAGACCTTAGGTTCACAGTGTTCAAGAACACCTCTGCTTTTCCTGAGGAGATGGTGTTTCTGCCGTAGTGGCAATGTAATACAACTAAAGGAACCAGGTCCACTGTTGACTAAGATACCAAATTTGGGCAGCTCAGTAGACTAATGCAGCGTGATTCTCTCAAGCCAGGTAAGTGACTTTGAGATTTCTGGATGGCAGCTGCAACAACATAGTATGCAGTGCATAATAGCTGAATTCTTTAGTTAAGCTTATTTTGTAGGTGTCAGTATTATCTTTGCTGTGTCATTACATTCCTGGTGCCAGTAGTTTGAGCTTTAGGAAGCAAGAACTCTGCTGACTTTCTTAGTTCTGCTCAGATAGAAGTTAGCACTTGAGTACATCTGCCACTCGTCATAGTTTCTAAGGCACTACTGAAATGCCAAATACTAATAAGGCAACAATTAAAAAAATATTAAATACCCCACATCTGTTTCAAGACTAATAATTTTATTATAGATTTTTCTTGTAGGAGCATTTCATAGTTAATTTAGTGATGTGGTATAGTACTTCAACATTTGTTAACATCAGGTTGTTGTGTTTTTTTCCATGTAGTGTCCATGGTGTTTTTATGATTCCTGTATAAAATCAATGTAATGCAAGGATTTTTGGTTATGCATGGCTAATGTAAGGAGTCCTGTATTATGATTTCTTTATTTCCCTAATGTTGAGCTATAGTAAGTTGGTGGTATCTATTAACGAGAAGTTAAGGGGAGAAAAAAGATCTGGACGTAAACAATTTTTACTATTCCATTTTGTTAGTGTGATATCTAAAACAATAATCTTGGATAACATTTTTAAATAAATAGAGCCAGGCACAAGTTATTTTCTGTTTAATAGATAGTATTTGAGTATTTTTTTTCTGTTTAAAACTGATTATTAATTCTGAATAAATTCAGAAGTAAAATAGATATTTTGTAATTAAAAAAAACATACAAAAATACTAATTTTAATTCTGAACCTGTGGAGAGCTCAGTTTCCTCCCCCTGCAGTCCACCTCCCTGCCAGAGTTGTATGAGCAATTCAAGTCAGTGTATCTTTGCTGCATGCTTTTCTGCAGGAAAGTGTAGATAGATTGAGTATTTCACTGTCAGTCATGGAAATAATGTCTGCTTAGACTGTTTCAAGAAACATGTTATGTCAAATGCTAACACATTTATGAACAAAGGAAGGGTTAGTAATGCTGTATGTTCAGAAGAACATTTTTTGGTTGTTTTTCTCAGATGTTAATTGGAACCTTAATTTTCAATATTTTGTCAGAATGAATCAGTATAACCTTTTTTATCTACTAGTATCTTGGAAGATACTCTTTTCCAGTGTATCCAAAGCATAATTTATATAATGAAGAGGCCTATGTTGATTCTTAGGAGATGAAACAAAAGCTTGAAAGCATCTGACCCTCTTTGCTAATAAGAATAAGCAGCATAGGAGTCCTTGTGTATATGCTCTTTCACTCAGATGACTGCTGATTTAGTAGACACAAAGTTTGTGGAGTGTCCACGTGAAATCACCTGGCCATAGGAGTCTCAGTAGTGAATTTGTTCTGCCACACTGTGAGATTCACAACCCGCAAAGCAGCCTAAAAAATTAAATTGCTACTGGCTTTCACTTCTTGGTTCTTTTTAATTGTTTCTGTAGGAATTTCAGGTCTGGGTTTGTTGTCACGCCATGTTTTTGTTAGGATTACGTGCTCTTCCCACAGTTTTTCCTTCTTGCTACATATCTTTAAAAGATGGAATCCTTTAAATGGAGTTTTCCACTCTTCCCATAGAGTTTTGCATGTATACCTAAAATGTAATACTGTTCTTTATGCTAAAGTTTATGCTGTACTTGTACTTTTATTTAACCAAAAAAAAGGCTAGTTTGTGATTCTATATTGTAGATTACAAACAGATTTGGCTTTGAGATTTTTTGGTTTTCCATTCTGAAATAAAATTTCTAGTCCAACATGCTGAAAGGAAAAAAATGACATAAAGCAAATAATTTGCAAGTGGTTGGCGTGTTCCTCCACTCTAGCAGGTTTTTTTTATCTGACTGTGCATGAGTATTTTGCCAATTACTAGTGTTACTGTGTTTTTTAGACATAAAGGTTTATGCTCTTATGTTAAAGTAGTTGGTAGGTATGAACAAGCTTGTTTTTATTCTACCTGGACTCTATGTTTGTTGTTTCTTTGTTTAAAGTAAATAGTTCATGAGCAAAATTGACTATTTGGAAAAAAAATCAGGGAAGCAAGAGAGAAGCCAAATAGGCATGAAATTATGTTTTCCCTTCAGTAAGTGCTGTAAAAATAAATTGAAATTTTTTAAATGAAGCTCTATACTTATATTTGCTTTGGGTTGAGTTACTCCAGGTTTTAAGGCTAGCTTTAAAAATAGAAAATTTACCTTCTGTCTGTAGAAGAAATC